CACGGGCTGGATTCGAACCTGCCACCTTAGGTGTATGTGGCTGGCACCTTAGCCACTTGAGCCACAGGCGCCAGGCCTACAACATAGTTTCTTAAACATTCATATATATTTTTTTTATTAAATCATAGCTTAATGCAATCATGGGGTACAATGTGCTGGTTTTATATACAATTTGAAATGCTTTCATCAAACTGGTCAACATAGCCTTCATGGCATTTTCTTAGTTATTATGTTAAGACATTTATATTCTACACCTAATAAATTTCACACATTCTTTTTTTTAAGTTTTAGAGATAATCTCAGAATTATAAGAGTTATAAAAACAGTACAGAGTCCTGGATATCTTTCACTCAGGTTCCATTTTATACTAGTGTCTTATATAATGATAGAACATTTACATAAAACATTTATGTTTTTTTAAAAAGCCTTTTCACACATTTTTCATAAGAACCTGAGAAAAAAGGACTTCATATTCTACATACCTTCCACTGATAGCACCCTGAAGTTACTCCAGTTGATGCCAATCCATATCCTTTTCCTCCACTGCCATGAGTTAAAATCTGTCCATTCTCCACTAAACAACATTGAGCTTTCTCTGGATCAAAAGATACTTCTTGGATAGGAAGATTCTCATCTTCTTCCTCCAACTCTCCCTGCTTCTACCAGAAAGGAAGCTAGGTCAGTATTTTGGATTAGCCCAGATCTCAGGTAATATATATTTGCAGACTCCTTGTTTTATTCCACAAATATTTATTAAGTATTTACTATTTATCAGTTATTGTGCAACGTAATGGGAACACAACGATAAATAAGGCATGGTCCCTGCCCATAATGAGCTTATAGTCCAATTAATGGATAGAAGGACAAATAATAATCCTAATATTACAATAATAATAGAAGTTACATAACAGGGATAGAAGAATCATAAAAGTATTATATAAGTGTTTAGCTATGCTTGAGAAGTACAAAGAAAGCATTCAAAAGAAAGTGACTGCTAAGATGAGTCCTAAATGATGAGAAGGCAACAAGCAGCTGATCAAAACAGAGAGAGGCATTTTAAGGCAGTGTGTACAGCAGGCGTCCTCAAACTGCGGCCCGCCTAGGACATTTATCCAGCCTGCCGGGTGTTTTTGCCACCACTGCCTGTCCTGCTGAGCAGCGGACTCATCCCGGGGCCTGCAGTCCAGCCCTCCAATGGTCTGAGGGACAGTGAACTGGCCCCCTGTTTAAAAAGTTTGAGGACCCCTGGTGTACAGCATGTGCCAGGTCATGGAGATACAACAAGAGTTCAGTGATTTAAAGTAATTATAAGCAGTATGTAATGTCTAGAGGATGAGACTGATAGAAAACGAGCCCAGAAAGAGGAGGAGTGAAATCAAGGAAGGTCTTGTATGACATATGATTATTTTTTTTTTAGAGACACAGTCACCCTCAGTAGAGTACTGTGGCATCACAGCTCACAGCAACCTCCAGCTCTTGGGCTTAGGCAATTCTCTTGCCTCGGCTTCCCAAGTAGCTGGAACTATAAGTGCCTGCCACAACGCCTGGCTATTTTTTTTGTTGTTGCACTTTGGCCGGGGTCGGGTTTGAACCTGCCACCCTTAGCATACGGGGCTAGCACCCTACTCACTGAGCCGCAGGTGCCGCCCTGTGTGACATATTATTTGAACTACACAACAGGAAGTGCCTACACAGGATGATTTATGCAAGAAATCTGTGATCAGATCTGTGCTTTACAAACATCAGCCTACCAGGGGTTTATAGGATGAAGGCAGAAAGACTAATTAGGAGATTGTTCTAAGAAATAGTGAGGACCTGAATTCATTCATTCATTCATTTATTCAATGAACATTTACTAAGCATCTACTCTGTGTCAAGTATTCCATCAGGTCCTTTATATTCAGCAGTGTATAAGAAAGATATAGTCTCTGCTCTCCCAGACTTTATATTTTAGAAGAGAAAAACAGAAAATAAATAAATAAGAAAGTGCTATAAATAATTAGTGTATGTTGAAATTAAAACAGGTGACATTACAAAGAATATATGTAAACTACTCTGAGTTAATTAAGGAAGAATTCTCTGAAGAAGTGATAATAAAGTTGAGAACTGGATGATAAGCAGTTTCTGAGACACATATCTGGTAGGACTAGCCAGCTTAAAGCCCTAAGGAAGGAACAAGTTTACTGTGTTCATAGAAACAGAAACAGTTGTTTAGAGCACAATAAGTAAAGAAAAGAAGACAAACAGTTCTAGATTTTACCCCCAAGAATGATGAGAAACCATGTCTTAAACAGAGATGACCAATGTGCTCTGATTATTGTATAATTGTAAAATACCACTCTGGATCCAACAGAAACAGAGAGATCAGTTAAGAGGCTATTGCACAGTCCAAGCCAGATATAACAACTTGGAATATAGGGTGATGACAGAAGAGATGGCAAGGTAAGCAAATTCAAGCTATGTTTTAGAGAGGAGCCAACAGAATCTAGAGGATGTATAGATGAAGAAAATGAGAGTTGGGGGAGACAAAAGAAGAGAAAAATCAAGAATGACTCCTGGGTTTTTAACTTGAGTAATGAACTAGAAGTCTGGGGAAGCCTGGGGAAGCACAATGTGGTAAAACTAATGATGCTATTTTTGACATGTTGAGTATGAGATACCTATTAGATGATCATTCAAGTGAGAAGACTAGCAGAAGATAACTAGAAATCTAGAATTTAACAGTAAAGCCAGAACTGGAATTAAAGACTCAAGAATCACTGGATTATAGGTCTGACTAAGGTTTCTTCGGGAATGGGGATGACTGTTGAAAAAAAGAAGACATCTTGAGACTAAGCTTCAGAATACTCTAATACTCTATTAGGACAAACAGAAGAAGAACCAACAAAGGAGAATCAGAGTAGGCCATTGTACTGAGCTAGGAGGAAAACTAGAAAAAGTGTGGAATCATGAAAACCAAGAGAGGAAGAAAGGTAGACGTATAGATAGATGGATTCATGAGCTATTCAGGAAGTATATGGAACCTGATGATTACATCCATAGGGACATCAGGTTTGGAAAACTAGGTGAGTGGCAGTACCTTAAATCAAAAATGGTACAGGACAAAAAAGGGAAAGGTTTGCGGGAGAGACAACTGGGTTACCATTTAAGTTTAGAAGGCATTGCATGTAGGTGGAAATGGTCTTAGGTATGGATAATATTGCTAAAAAGGTTAAGGATAAATTAGCTAGGAGTAGCAGCCAGGTACTTCGGAAGCCGAGGCAAGAGGATCACTCAAGACCAGAAGTTTCAGGTTACAGTGAGTTATGAGCATGCCACTGCACTCTAGCTAGGGCAACAGAGTGAGATAATTCTGAAGAATACCAATGTTTTAAGATGGAGTCAAGTAGGATCAAAGAAGAGTTGCTTCTAGAGGGAATTAAGGATTGGCAGAGGGTGTATGGAAATCCAGGAGAAGATAGGGTTTTAGAAATAAGAGAAGGCTAGAGTTTCCAGAAGTAAACTAAGATGTGGACAAAAAATTATATACTGTATTTAGGAACCAACATTTATCTTTGTCATTTAATTTTGGCACTTTGATGGAAGATAAACAATTGGGTTGAAGAGAAGTAAGGAAGTAGCTGAAACATACAGATTACTCTTCCAAGAAGGTTATTAGTGAAGGACAGGAGATCAGAGAAGGTTTCATGGATAAAAATATGATTTGGGAAGTAGGGAATGAGAGATAAGCATGTTTATAAACTAAGAGGAAGGGAATCAGTGGAGAAAAAGACAATGCAGAGATAGAAATGGAATAACTGATAGAGCAAGGTCCCTCAGAGAAGCAGGCATCCTGAGACAGACAACAGGATGTTCATTTGTGCTGCCTAAAAGCACCTTTTGGGAACAATCAGTTACCTGTAATTTTATTTCTTGTTCTTTTTCCTTTATCTGAATAGCATGTTTGGCCTGAGCAATGGGTGTCTCCCACATACAATCCGATAGAAGGGAAAATAAGCGTTCAACAATCTGTTTTATTGAAGAAAAGAGAATGATAATGGCTTTTAAAGAGTAATTTTAGGTACTTTTAGAAAAGATACGTCACATAACTAATATTAAGTTACATGTGAAGTTAGATTATACCAATGTTAAACAACTACTTTGGGTGGTTATCTGTTAAATATCTTTATTTAAGAAAGATAAATAATCTACTAAAAAGTGGATTTTATTTTGTCTTACTATATGGTTCTGATTAAACCACCCACTCTCACACATCTCTCTCTCTAGAGGCCCAAATCTAGAAAGAAATTCCACTTATTTTTCTTTTCTTCTGACCTTGCAAATATTCCCTATTCCTCTACTTCTCAGATCCCATAATTTAACTTCTCTTTCTCCCTCTTTGGAGATGAAATAATAAATAAAGCAGTCTTAAAAGTAGAAGTTATGCTATTGAATAAATGACACATTTACAACTGAAGACAGTGTAAGGATAGACTTTGAGTCAATCATGTTGCAGATATGGAAAACATTAATAGCTTTAAAAACAGAAACCTGGGCCATCTGATCATCTTCCACACCGGATTCACAAGCTGGTAGCACAGCTTCAAGGACATGAAGTGCAAGGAGTCTTGTTCTTAAGTTACCAACTAGAGGAATACCTGGGGGGGGGAAGACGTTTTCTTATTATCAATGTGACTTAAATTCAAAATTAAAATGAAATCTGGGGGAAAAAATCTCTGAGGCTATTAAGCATTTATGGGTACAAAGGATTTCATTTCAAACTATTATCAAAGGAATTCTAGATCTATCCTGTACCCATTAATACATATGGATATACTCATCTTTATGTCTCAGTTTTAATGTAATATAATAAAGTGTTGTAGTAACTATCTGTGGCAGGTAATGTACTATGCATTTCACATACACTAACACTGTAAATCCTAAATTATAGTCCCATTTTACTGATGAGGAAAATGAGGCTCAGAGAAGGTACCTCAACTAATGCCACCTAGCTTGGGAGAGGTCGAATTAGTCTCTAAAGACTATGCTTATTATTCCTTCTCCTGGCCTCTGCCTTGTCCACGCCTTAACTGTCTCACAGAGATTGCTAGGGTTAATGGGGAGTAAGCAGATTATACTTATCTAAAGTATGCAAAGGTAGAGACAGGACACTGATGATGCTTATAAATATGTACTTTTTATACACTTAACTGTAAGACCACTTGAACATAAATTAATTTTTTATTTATGTTCTAAAAATTCAATATTATATAAGCCTAATCTTGTTAAAGCAAAAAAAGCTATTATAATTTATGCTACTTAAGAAAAACTACTAAAATATACTGAGAATGTAAACATATAAAATCGTACCATGGAAGACTACATTCTATTTTGGCATATTTAAAATGGACTAGGGATAATGAAAAGTTCTGGAAAAGGATAGTGGTGATGGTTGTACAACACTGTGAATGTACTTAATGTCACTGAATTATACTCTTTAATAGCAAAAATAGCAAATGTTATGTATGTTTTATCACAATTTAAAAAAAAACCAGACTGGGAAGGGACTGATTAGTAATTTAGGTAAGCAGACCAGACTCTTAGACTAAGAACTAGGAATTAAGCTTATTACCTACATCTGTCACAGATTATTAAACAGTCAGAAGTCACAAAGTAAGAGAAATTATATCATGATAGGAGAGAATGGACAAATTCAGACCTATTTCTTGGTAATTCAAGAAGTGAGGTCAGAATCTGTGCCTAATTATCATATTAAAGACAATGTTCTCAACTTATTGTTCAGTATTATAATCTGAACAAATAAATTTGAGTCTCTAGATAAATTCCATAATCTTCTCCACTGATATTTTACATTATTAATTTTATGCCAATTTTTACTCCTAAAACTAGAGATTCCTTTTGATCAAATGGGTACTCAGAAAATAAAAAAGCCTTAAAATCACTGTCAAGTGATGACAAATGATGTGCCTTCTTTCTACATCCCAGGGATGTTGTTAAAGTCTAGCATTATCATAATATACATGTATTATCTATAGATGCTCTAAAACAAAGGCAAAGGACATATACCTGAAGAACACTTCTGAGATGCTATATTTAAAAGGACTTCTGTCCACTTTGGGGAAGCCATTTTTGATTGAATTGCTTTTGAAGATACAACTCTGCGAAGAAAAACTAAAAAATCCCCCAGATGGAGTTCAGCTGCATGTTGTTTCCTAAGAGTAGCTAAAGGGTAAAGAGACAAGTTTATGTTACAACCAAAAGTCAATAAGAAATAGTCATTTATCATATAATTTACACTTAGATTGCAGTAAGCACTAATGTAATTTAAACTCTAGGTTGTCAAAAAGCTTCTGAATTTTGAAAACTTAAAGAACAGTATGAGGAAAGGTCAAAAAATAAAACCAAAATGGAAACATCTTTTACAACTACATAGAATAGTGAGCATGCTAGGATGTGTATGTATACAGCGAGTCCCTGAATAATGTCATTTCATTATAATGTTCTAAGTAAAAACAAATTGATTCCAGGCTGGGGCCACCATCTATGTGGAGTTTGCACATTCTCCCCAAGTCAGTGTGAGTTTTCTTGGAGAATTCTGGCTTCCTCCCACATCCCAGGGATGTGTACATCAGTTTCACAGGCATGTCCTGTCTCAGTCTGAGCGAGCGTGGGTGTGGGAGTGTGAATGAGTGCACACTGTTATGGGATAGTGTCCTGTTCCACAATGGCTCCTGCCTTATACTCTGAGGTGCAAGGGGACAGGTTCCAGTCACTCTTGACCCTGAACTGGAATATGCAGGTCTGCTAATGACATCATAGCTATCATCATAGCGCAATACATTACTTTTTTCTATATTTAGATACACAAATATTCACCATTGTGTTACAACTGCCTGTTGCATGTTCAGTACAGTAACATGATGTACAGGTTTGTAGCCTAGCAGCAATAGGCTATACCATCCAGTCTAAATGTACAGTTGGCTCTACCATCCAGGTTAGTGTAAGTGTACTCTACAAGGTTCACACAACGATGAAACCATCTACTCATCAAATAACACACAAATATATTAACATTCATTGAACTTTTCACTAGGTGCCAGATACAGTTCTAAGTGCTTTATGTGTATTAAGCTATTGAATCCTCACAGCAATCTTAGGAGGCTGGCTCCATTATCATCCTTATTTTTTTTTATTAAATCATAAAGAGATAGATTGTGTTATCATCCTTATTTTATAGATGAGAGAATTGGGGTACAGAATGATTACACAACTTGCTTTCTCCCTCCTATTTATCCACCTAACCTAAGGATTTAAGGACTTCCAGAATTTATTATGGTAACAGAACACGGTAGATTTATAATCTGTTTTTCAATAAATGACCAATTTTAGATATTTATTCCCTTAATTATGCAAAATGCCTATGTATTAGTTCTAGTTTTGCTGTTCAGATACTAGTTCTACTGAAATACACTGATCAATATAAAGCCCTAAGTGGATGATCATATTACAGCAACCAAAAATTATGACAGCAAAGTTTAATGAAGAATTATTAGTGACTAGAGAACAGAATAGCCTAGGAAGAAGTTGAGCTCTTCCAATTATAATCTAATCCCAAATATCAAAACCATTGGTCCTAGTTTAGGCCAGGTGAGAGAAAGTTTATCATGATCAAATACTAAAAAGTTATCTGAGGCTCCCCTAGGATATATATAACCCAGGGGAAACCAGTCACTTAAAAACTATGTCTTAGAGCTGAGACTGTCAAGGAGAGGCTGAACCTAGAAATGGGTGTATGGTCACAGCATCAGGGTTATCAGACTCTAAGGAGAAAAGGTTTGATCATAAGCTCATCTAAATCATATATATTGGAGATACAAGTGATTTATAAATGAACAAATAAACTCCTTTCATGCCTCACAGGGAAAGAAATACATATGCATACAATGGAGACTCAAAAAATGCTTCTAAATAAAGACAGAAAAAAAGGTTTAGGATACCTCTGAAATCTTTCTTTTCAGTTTCTCCACTGGTGTCAACTTTTTTTTCTTCTTCTTCACCCTCTTCTTGTTCCCCTTCTCCAAAAGAGGCCATAAGTAGTACACCAGTTTGAGACAACAAATTCTTCAATTGACTACAGAGTAGATCCAATAAGGACTGAACTACCTTGGGGCTCAGTTTATCAGCATAGGTCCTATGAGAAAGAAAAGGAAAAAAATAAGTGGTAGGAACACAGAAGGGTAAACATAGTGCTTAAACACATAAAGAAGATTAGACAGAAATGGAGATTACTAAAATATGGGAAAGCCACAAATAGCTCTGCAAAGACATCTATAATAGTTACCCTGTAGTGATGGCTAAAATCTGGAGCAACCTTGTACTGGCCACTTTCAAAGCTGTGCTAAGCTGGGAAACACCCGTCTTCGGCAACAACTGCAGGGGCTGTCCTAGCATAGTGTCTGTGCCACATAACTGGGACAATACGTTTAGCAGACCAGTGGAAATTGCCAAAGAAACATCCACTGGTTGATAATGAACACTCAGGGCGAAAACTGTAACCAAAAGGAGACGCTGCTGGGCTTCTAAAAAAAAAAAGAAAGCAAGAGAGAGAGAGATAGAGAGAGAGAGATAGTTGAGAATTTTCTTTGAAATGAAAAAAGGGATTACTAAAATTAATCCTTTTCTAAAATACAAATAGTATATTTCCAAATATTTATTCTTTACTGTAAGTTGATTACTAATGTTAAACACAACATAACTACCTACTGTGACCTCAGTCCAAAATGTAACCTACATCTTGTATTTGCAGGAACAGTTACTCACCAATATGATGCTTGTTTGCTTGAAGGGCTCTTTCCAGGGTAGCAGACAACTGTTGATAAATCTTATGCACAGCTACCTGGATTTCAATCTGAATATTTCTCTTAGCTGCTCTGATCCCATCCTGAATTACACATAAAGATTTACTTTTTCTATTAGCAACAACAGAGTTTTTCTTCTTGCAAAAAGAAGTAAACTTTTATCCCTAGTACATACTAGAGCATGTTGGTATCTTCAAATTGTTTATTTCAGTATAAATAAACAATTTATACTGTGAAAGTTTTATAATAAATTTCATTTTAAATGGTTGATAATTCTTGATTCTATATAATCCTTTTCCTTACTCACAAAGCAATTTTTCCTCTCTAAATACAGAAGACATATTCATTTTTTAAATTTTTAACAGTAGAGAACTAGGTAAAATGATTAAATCTAAAATGTAAACTCTTGAAACCCATGCTCCCAAACTCCAGTCCCTATCCCAGCTTAAATCTATCTCTATCCAATCTGTCTAAGAATAAAACTGAGCCCATAAAGAATCTAAAAGTACAACAGTACCATGGCTCATCTAATCCCAATCCCAATTGTACTACTTACAAAAGTAAACCAGTAAGATACCTTAAAGAGTAATATTTATTTATTTATTTATGGAAGCAAAGTCTTATTCTGTCATCCCAGCTACAGTGCAGTGGTGTCATCTTGGCTCACAGCAACTGAGTAGCCGGTACTACAGCTCACTTTTGCTCAGGCTGGTCTTGAACTCCTGAGCTCAAACAATCCACTTGCCTTGGCCTTCCAGTGTGCTAGCATTACAGGCGTGAACCACCACATCCAGTCAAGTCTTTATATTTTTAAAGATCTATCATAAAAACCACAAAGTTTAAAATGGCTTTGTAAAAACATAGTTAAAATCTAAAGATATGGCTTGGCGCCTGTAGCACAGTGGTTACAGCACCGGCCACATACACCAAGGCTGGTGAGTTCAAACCCAGTCCAGGCCAGCTAAACAATGATAACTACAACAAAAAATAGCCGGGTGTTGTGGCAGCTATAGTCCCAGCTACTTGGGAAGCTGAGGCAAGAGAATCACTTAAGCCCAAGAATTGGAAGTTGCTGTAAGCTGTAATGCTATGGCACTCTACCAAGAGTGACATAATGAGACTCTGTCTCAAAAGAAAAAAAAAGAAAAGAAAAATATCTAAAGATACTGTAAAATGTCACCTACTTGGTAGTGATGCAATCGACCACTCTCTCCTTTGGTTCCAGTGTGTCCAACAGTTCCTAAACCAAAACACCCTGCTAGAAATTGTAGCCTTACAGACGTGAGTAGTGTAGATGACTGGAAGCCTGAACTTGACCTGCTTCCTGCCAGTGAGATGCTACCTTTTTCCTCCATCCCAGACAATAGAACGAGGATCTGATGAAGTGCCTCTAAGCGAAGCTTGAGGGGAAAAAAACACATATTTTAGCTTCACTAAACTCAGACACAAAGCAACTCTGCATGTCAAATACTATTATTTAGGGCATAGAAAATTCTAACATTTCCTACAGGTCTATTAAGATAAATATTAATTTTAGTATTATTTCTGTTTTTTATCAGGATATATCTAAAACCTTTATAAGCATACTTCATTATAAAAGAGGCTGCACAGTACAGTGGGAAGAGTAGTAGATTTGAATGTAGGAGACATAGTCTCAAGGCCAGACTCTTCCACCTGCGGTGTGGCTCTGAAAAAGTCACATAATTTCCTGAGTTTCCGTTTCTTCATGTGTAAAATAAGACTAATAATACCTTATCTAATCTACTCACAGAGCTATTATTAAGCTCATGAGGAAATATATGTGAAGATTTTAAAACTGTAAGGTAGTATTGCTATTGCTTCTTTTGTTTACCATAAAGTTATATAGAATAAATACTCTTGAGCACAAGAATTAGAGATATTTGCCATAGACAACAAATGGGCTTTCTTTGTCATGATGAAGGAAAAGGCCTAACATTAACATCTTATATAACCATGGTATCAGTACATTTACCAAAACTAAGAAATCAGCCTTGGAATAATTATTATGAACTAACGCACAGAGTTTCATTTGGATTTCATAATTTTCCCATCATGTCCCTTTTCTGTTCCAGAATCCAATTCTGAATGCCACATTGCATTTAAGTGTCACGTCTGCTTTGTTTCCATTTGTTTCTATGATGGTTCCTCAGTCTTTTCTTATTGTTCATGATCCTGATGGTTTGGAAGAGCTGTTCATGGATTTTACATATGTCCCCAAATTTAGGTTTGTCTGATTTTTCTCTCATGATTAAAATGGAAATATGAATTTTAGGAAAGAATATCACTTAAAGTATCCTTGTCAAATTATATTAAGCATACATGATATCAATATGATTGATCTCTCTCTGGTGATGTTGATCTTGATCACTTAGTTAAGGTGATGTATGTGTGTGCCATGTTTCTACAATGTAAAGTTACTAATTATTCCCTTCCCATACTGTATTTGTTCTCAAGGGGAGATAAATAATTCGCCACCTCCTGCAAGGAGGAATATGACAGAATTTGTAGATATGTTAAAACCACAATAATTAATAAATATTTGGGGGGAGAATACTTCAAGATTATACAAACATCTCATGTCTCCAAGTTTTGCTCACAAATTAAAGCATTCATCCATGGGTCTTGACTTCAGCAATTGTTACTGTGGGGATCTAATCTAAACTAGGCACCTAATTTAAACCAAAACAAATGGGTCAAAAATGGAGGTTCTGAGAAACAGATCCCTATGGTCATCAGTCAGTCTCACACTAGTTTTTAAGAGACAAGGGAAGGCTTATGATTAGAATATATTATTCTGAGAAATTATAATATTAAAATGTACTTTTGTCCAGTTCAAACAAAATACTAGGTTATTAAGTAAGAAATGTCTGATTTCTTTAAGTACGAAGTTTGACAGCATCTCTGACATTTCACATTGATACTTGTTGGGATTTTTTTTTTTAAATTGTGAAAGTATACCCTTATTCTTTCAAATATACCTTTTGGCTTGTGGTTATCTTTTTTTTACAGCAATTTTTATGAACCATGGATAAGTCAAAAATTCATGTTACTTTTGAGTATGAGTTCCATTATGGAACCAATGCAGCGCAAACAGCTTGAAAAATAACAAAGTATTTGGGAAGGATGTGGCTAATGAGCACACAGTATGTGGATGGATTGAGAGGATCCATTCTGGTGATTTTAATCTTGAAAATGAGCCATGTGGATACCAAGGCAGATAATGATGAGCTGAAAGGTATAGTACAAGTGAATCCATTTCAACCTACGTGTGAATTAGCAACAAGGTTTGATGTTACTATTCTACCAATATTGGACAATTTGAAATAAATCAACAAGGTAAAGAAGCTCCGTGGATGGGTTTCACAATAATTAAAGGAGTGTCAGAACAGAAATCATTTTTGAAGCTTGCTTTTCTTTGCTGTCATGACACAAAGGTACACATTTCTACACCATATTGTTACATGTGATGAAAAATGGAATCTTTTTGATAATCGTAAGCATTTGGCACAATGGCTGGATAAAGATGAAGTGCCAAACACAGTCCAAAACCAAATATTCATCACAAAAAGTCAAGGGTGTCTGTTTGGTGGCCCAGTGCTGGTATTACATACTATAGTGTCATAAGACTTGGGCAGTCGATTACAGTAGAGGATATCTACTGCAACCAAATGGCTAACATGATAAGGATGCTTGTGATTAAGCAGCCATGACTGGTCAATAGAGACAGGCCAATCCTCTTGTAAGACAATGTTGCCAAATAAACAATGCAGCTCAAACTATAGAAGCTGAACTTGGAAACTCTGTCATTTACCATATTCACCAGACCTTGCAGTGACTGACTAGCAACTTTTTCTGGGCTTTAGACCACTTCTTATAAGGAAAAATACTCAGTTCTCAACAAGCTTGTGTGAAAACACCTTTTGTGATTTCATCACCACTCACGCCTCAACCTTCTTCACTGCTGGTACATCTGAGCTACCATTAAGAGGGCAAAACTATGTCGATAGTTTAGGTGCATACTGTAATTGTACTGCTTCTTGTTTGAGATATAATAAACTTTGGATTCTAAATCAGACATTTCATATTTAATGACCTAATAATAAGTTGTACCAGTTAAGAAAGTGATATAGAGAAGTGTGGGTAGAAGAAAGGAGCAGGTAAGGAATAGGAGAAAAGGAAAATTGTACATTCAGTGGCTTAGCTTAAGTTTCCAGAATCTCTCATGAAGAGTAAATATCAGACTTACTTCTGCCCTTAACTGTTGCTGTTCCATTGCAATGATAGAAGCCTGGGGACTTGTAGACATACTTTCTTCTGGCTCTTTAAAACCTGGGGCATTCCCCACATCTCCACTCACAAAGCTTACAACATTTTCAATCAAAGTGTGAACTCCCAAAGACTTGGTAAGATCAAAATCAGACTCAAAGGAGTAAGAGGAGTTACACAACCAGTCTCTGCTATGTTTCAGGCGAGTCCAAGAGTCACTCAGGGATTCCAACTGACTGTGCATGGGACCTATATGCAAAAAGAACAAACATGCATTAACGGCAAACAAGCAGAACATACACTGTAATACTAGATATGGCTGAGTGCTGCTATCATACCCACTGGTGAAAAATGGATAGTCATGTTTGAATACATGCATGCATTAAGTGAATCTGAGCAAAATGCTTTGGTAAAAAAATTAAACAAACAAAACCCTCTAAAAAACAACAAACAAAAACCAGAGCAATGTAAGAAAATAAAGGGAAAGCCCTGTTTGATGTACCAATGTCTCTGTAAGCGCTTTAGCAACACGCTGCCGTAAGAAAAAGAAAGGCAGAAGCTGCTCTCAAAATGCTTAGCTTAAAATGCTCTGCAGTATTAAACAAGATCATCAATTATGAACAGAAAGGAACTAGGCACTCAGGACACTGCTGATAAGACCTACTTGAAACATAGATTTCATCTAGTTTAACATTATCATTACAAAGGGTAAGTTAAGACTACACATCTGCAATGAAACATTACTAAAAAATGAATATAGAAGGGCAAGTAAACTTACACAAAAAGGAGACACAAACATCACCTTTTGGGTTTCATTAATATAAGAAACATTCTCACTGACTGTGTCATGTGCATGTTTACTGCAGATTGTGAAACTCTATTTAGAGTAAGCAAAGTTTCACAGACAAGAGTATATGAGATTTACTCTAAAATTCACTTATATAAAATTAAGTGGCATCACAATAGACGTTATAGAAGAAAAGTATATTGCCATTAGTTCTGCCAATGGGTAATTTTTAAGTTAAAATCTTTATATCATAAAATGTTAACATGTTTGAAAAACAACTGTCAAAGTCATATTAGCTTTAAATAAATATATATGTATATATAATACATGTCCAAGTCTTACACATTTTTTTCTTTAATTGATCTCAAGTACATAAATTTGATTATCTAGAATTCTTGGTTCATGATACACTTCCATCATCGGTTCATCCAATGATGGAGTTTCATATCCACATATTTATTTATAATAAATACTTGTGAACATGAGAACTAGAAAACCGACAGTAACTTGATTAGCTCCTCCTCTGTTTGCTCCTCTTCCAACCCATCTCTTCCTAGCTCTCTCTACCTAAGGTTTATTTTCTAGAAACTTGGGTTTATTATTTCCTGGCTTTTGTTACTGTTAAATTTTTTTTTATGTATTCCTAAGGCAGATAATTATTAGTTTTATCTGGTTTGGGTTTTTTTTTTAACAATATCATTTTATATAATCTTTTCATTCAATATAATATTGGTAACAATCTATATTACTATGTGCAGTCATGGTTCATTTGTTTAACTGCTGTGTAATATCCTATCATGTGAATATCCTAAATTTCTCTACTAGGAACACACCTTAAGGTACTCAATTAAATATTGATAACAAAATTTGTATTTGTTACATAACTGGATGGAAATTTGGGACCATAACTAAACACTAATGCACACAGAAAAAACACTAATATAGTATTGAATGTATAATCTTACTTTTTAATTACTATAGTGGTATCAGTTAAACCCGAGGACTTTGAAATCAGACAAATACATAACGGGGCAAAACATTATAAAGTAATTATGACATAATTTATATGAATCTCAGTAAAATAATTTAGAATGGTAAAGAATATACAGTTTATCCGCCTCCCATGTTTTAGCAAGAATTCTTAACATTAAAAATGTTTAATTTGCAGTTTCACTGAAGATGAAAAATAATCAATCTGAAAGTCTCACAAATTATATAGCTGAATATTCTTTCATATAAATAGAAAATAGTAAAAATTCAAAGAATAATATCACAGATGCATAATAGTATTAAGTTAAAAAAATATTTAAAGAATAGTAGCTCAGCGGCTAGGGCACCAGCCACATACACCAGAGCTGGTGGGTTCAAACCCAGCCCAGGTTTTCCAAACAACAATGACAAAAGCAACTAAAAAATAGCCAGGCAGGGCGGCGCCTGTGGCTCAGTGAGTGGGGCACCAGCCCCCTATATCGAGGGTGGTGGGTTCAAACCCGGCCCTGGCCAAACTGCAACAAAAAAATAGCTGGGCATTGTGGCGGTTGCCTGTAGTCCCAACTACTAGGGAGGCTGAGGCAGGAGAATCACCTAAGCCCAGGAGTTGGAGGCTACTGTGACCTGTGACGCCACAGCACTGAGGGCGATCTACTGAGGGCAATAAAGTGAGACTCTGTCTCTAAAAAAAAAAAAAAATAGCCAGGCCTTGTGACGGGCACCTGTATTCCCAGCTACTTGGGAGGCTGAGGCAAGAGAATTGCTTAAGCCCAAGAGTATGAGGTTCCTGTGAGCTGTGATGCCACAGCACTCTAGCCAGGGCAAAAGCTTAAGACTCTGTATCAAAAAAAAATTATTAACGTATAAGGCAGAGACTAGTACAAAAAAAGAGAGAGAGATTCATTTTTCATTTCTTTAAGCACCTCAAATTTAGAATCTGCATTTAGTCTTAATTTACAAATAATGATTTTCGGTTCCTTACATTTGAATTCATTTTTTCCAATAATAAAACTTCAGAACAAAAGTTTCTTCTGTTTTCTAATACTTATAAATTACTTTTCCAAATGAAAATAATATGTACCATGAGCTAGTATTAGAATCACAGAAATAAGAGAGATCTTAAAAGATTGTCTAATCCAATATCCTAAATTGAGAAAACAGAGGTGCAAAGAAACTGATCTGCCAAATTAATGCCTTTAATTAGCACCTAATGCCTTTATTTTAAGAGAGGCAATCTCACATATTCCTGTTATTAATCCACTCACAAATCACTGATCTATGGAAATTTCAACTGTCTGCCTACATAAAGGTTCACAAATCTACCAATCGTGATTACTTTTATATACACCAAAAGATTCTACAGAATAGCTGGTCAAGCTGAAAATTAAATCCTCAGGACAATTTAATACAGGAGTCAGCAAACTTTTTCTGTAAGTGGCCAGACAGCAAATATTTCAGGCTTGCAGACTCTAAAGTCTCTATCACAAGTATTCAACTCTTGTTGTAGTTAAAGCAGACAATATATAAACAAATGAGTGTGGTTGTGTTCCAATAAAACCTGACTTACAAGCAGGTAGAAGACTAACTTAACCTACTAGTTGTAGTTTACTGACCCCTAATTTAAAGGGTGAATTTGTTATGGTTATGACCCAAGTAAAACCTCATATAAATAAAAAATAAGAAACAATAGGAAATACATTACATGATAAGATTAGAATAAACAAAATAATCTTAATAAAATTAGTTATTTGACATCAAAAATACTCTGAAACATAAAAACTTACAGTATGGAAATGGGAGATGAAAGAATTTTTTAAAAATTATAATAATCTGATAACTTTGGTTCATTCTGTATTGTTTTATCTAAATAGAGAAAATGCTATATGTAAAAAACACAACAAAAGCGTCTATGTAAGAATTGAGACTAAGCCTGATTTTTACTTAATATTAATTCAAAGTCAGCCATCTATATATATAAGGAAAATATAAAATCAAAATATTTTTGAGATTGTTTACTTGTCCTTACAACTTTGGCTCTTAAATGGAATTTTTAAAATGAACATGGCAGAGCTGCAATACATACTTTATAAACCATAAAATATGTAGGGCAAGCTAAAAGGGGAAAAAAATTAAACATGCCATCATGTACTTGCTTGAAGCTCTTCTTTTTTCTGGGGCTCAACTGGCCAAAAAGGAGTAAATACACTACCACACAAGAATCAGAAGACAAAAGGAGAAATTTTGATACAAGAGAGACAGAGACAACATCTATATTTGCTCTTCTTTACATAATCTAATTCGAAATGCATAGACAAAATAGCATTTGCCCATACATGTTACACCATGAAACACACATGTTCATAAATGTTTCCAGTATTATTTTGGCAATAAAACCTAACACTGTATTTAAAAACCTGGGGGACAGAAAGGACCAAATAAGATAGTATTTTTAACTAACAAGATTACTGATGTTACTTCTTAAACTGCTGTTTTAGTATTCCATCATTTTTTACTATATCAGCGTTAGCTTAAATTTGAAAACCAAAATCAAGGATCTGCAAAACAGTATTATCTTTCTTCGAAGAACCAGCTTAATTCTGCACAGCTATAGCAATCTTTTTAAGTATTTAACAAAGTACCAAAATACCAACATATTTTTATAGGTTTTGTCAAGAATTCTGAGACTGTTACAAAAATTAAATGTATTAATATTAACATTTGTGAAAGCTTAGAATAAGTCCTGACATATAGTAAGTATTTAGTTTATAAGTGCTTAATAAATGCAATTTCAAGGCCAGGCACAGTGGCTCATACCTATAATACTAGCATTCTGGGAGGCCAAGGCAGGTGGACTCCTGAACTCACAGGTTTGAGACCAGCCTGAGCCAGAGCAAGACCCCATCTCTAAAAATAGCCAGGTGTTATGGCAGAGCCTGTAGTCCTAGCTACTTGGGAGGCTGAGGCAAGAGAATCACTTGAGCACAAGAGTTTAAGGTTGCTGTGAGCTATGATGTCATAGCACTCTACCAAGGGCAACAAAGTGAAACTCTGTTGCAAAAATAAATAACCCAGGCATTGTGGTGGGTGCCTGTAGTCCCAGCTACTCCGTAGGCTGAGGCAAGAGAATTGCTTGAGCCCAGGAGTTTGAGGTTGTTGTGAACTATGATACCATTGCGCTCTACTGAGGGGAACAAAGTAAGACTCTGTCTAAAAAAATAATAATAATTGTAATAAATAGGATATAATTAAACACAGTTATCTTTCTTCTATTCCTCTTATCAGGCTTTTAGTAATTCAAAATGACTTAGACTAATACAAACACTATGTGAGGGGGAAAAATGTACACTTCCTTGTCAAATTACTGAAAGAGAGTTAAAAGCACACAGAAGAATTCTCATACGGCTGGTCATCTGCTTGTCCTACATGACTCAAGTCAAATCAGAATGCCTGATAGTTTGCATGGTCCAAAACAGTTAGACTGGGCAGGTTCATTTGCCCAAATGAAGATAGGTATGTTATGGCTTAAAATATCTTGCTTACATTGACAATAAATAAGAGAAAAAAATAGGGTCATTTATTTTGCTGTTATTTAAGAGCAAAAACAAACAAAATACACTACAGTCAAAGGATAGGCAAATATACAAGATTTTTAAAAATTCTTTTTAAAACATAATCTTTTAAGTGCAGTTTCAATGTTAACTTCTTCTGAAGAAAGAAATCATTAGAATAAGAAAAACAAAAGCTATTTAAATATACATTTTCATTCTTTAATCTACAAACTCTAAGATTCTTGAGATTAAAAAGTATTTAATTTTGCTACCTTTCCTAAAATAGTAACTCTTCCACTTTCTAGTCACCTGTCCCTAGGAATAAAAGCATCAGCAAAATTTTGCCCTGGGAACATAAAAATGGAAGGATTAAGTGATATGAAGAATATTTTTATAACTAGTTTGCCTCCCTCTTTGCCTATTGTCCATTCCTAAATGAGTAGTTAAAACAAAGAGAGAAGAAAACTTTTCCCATGAGTTCCTATATTCGCTTTTTTGTTTCCAACAAAATAAAAGTTATATTCCAACAAGTTAACAAGTGTTTGTACTACCTCGAACTTTTTCAAGAAGATGGCTTAATCCATAAACAAAATTTGGATTAACGGCTTAATTCATTTATACTTATTTAGATATAAAACTTATATCTACTTACAGGATACTTATTTAAAATATAAAATGGGTAGCTAATTTTAGGACAATAATTCTAATATTCTATTAATTCTTAAGTAATTCACATTCAAATTATAGGTCACTCTTAAATCAACAATAAAGATCCTACTTTGTTTATTCCAAAGATAGTACTTTGCCATATGCTGATATGGTTAACACAGATTATTAAATTGTATCTCCATAAGCATAATAAAAATCTGAGAAAAGAATAATTTTAGCCAATGGACTATCACTTATAAATATAAATATAGTATAGCAGGAAGCTCTTAAACTGTAAGTTGGATCCCTTATGCTACTCAATGAGCCTGGAGTCATTTTCTCTGTTAGCATGTTTTTGTTAATAACATAGAACTTTAAGCAACTCTATTCATCTGAGTAAACAAAATTAGAAAAGTCTATTTGTTTCAAAAATTTAAATCAATTACTAAGTCAAAATGTACTACTAATTTTCAAATAATTATAAAATCCATATAAACTATACTAAACATCATTTAATTTCTTTTATATCACAAATATCTTGGCGTGGTTCTCATAGCTCAGTGGTTAGGGCATCAGCCACATGCACTGGGGCTGGCGGATTTGAGCCCAGTCCGGGCCTGCTAAACAATGACAACAACAAAAAACTAGCCGGGCATTGTGGCGGGCACCTGTAGTCCCAGCTAATTGGGAGGCTAAGGCAAAAGAATCACCTGAGCCTAAGAGTTTGAGGTTGCCGTGAGCTGTGATGCCACAGGACTCTACCCAGGTTGACATAGTGAGACTCTGTCTCCAAAAGAAAAAAAAACAAGTATCTTGTAATTTTTTTTTTTTTTTTTTTTTTTTTTTTTTAGGATCTCAGGAGTTTTGATATGTTACAGTCTCAAAAGATTTTTCAATAAACAAAGCCACCATCTCTGGTCCTTATTATTTCAGACAAATCATTCTGTGTATTCCAATTATAATCATATTACAAAATTGCCAGATTTTAAGTAACAACATCTCTTCTTTTGAGTTACATATATACATGAAAATGAAAAAAGTTATGTGTGCTCTCAGATAGTTTCCTTTGGTGGAGAAAACTAACACTCTGTCAAGGAAGCTACCAAGAAAAGGGTTTAACTTTGAAATGCAAAAGATTTAATATCTGGAAAAAATGTTTTTCACAAGTTTTTAGAAAACTGTCATAGTGGCACTTTTTAACATTTCACATTTTCCATAACCACATCATAAATAGTTTAAAATAAAAGTACCTTGGTAAAATAAAATAAAATAAAACTAATACAAATAAAGTATTCTAGAGAATAATACTTCAGAAAGTTTTTAGTTAACATTGGATTTATATCACCTAAAACTGGTGGGTTTTCCCTCCATTTGTACATATGACCTTGAGTTAACTATATTATTCATTAAAAGTGAACTTTCAACAAAAGACCTTAACTCTTGATGACCCTCTAAATTAGGCATCCTCAAACTACGGCCTGTGGGCCATATGCAGCCCATCTAGGACATTTATCTGGCCCGCCGGGTGTTTTTGCTGCTGCTGCCTGTCTTGCTTAGCAGCCAACTCATCCCGGGGCCCGCAGTTGGGCCCTCCAATGGTCTGAGGGACAGTGAACTGGCCCCCTGTTTAAAAAGCTTAAGGACCCCTGCTCTAAATCATCAGTTCATCTCTGAACATTAGAAGAGATTAAAAAAAAAAAAAAAAAACCAGAAACTTTCCTTTGGAAAGCATATGTACCTATATATAATATAAAGTAAAGAGAAGTTCTCTTGTAAAGCCATTTAAACTCTAGAAACTCTCTGAGTAAGCTAAAACATGGAAAATTATGACAAATAATAACAGAATTAGTGACTTCTAAACATTCCCACATTTTTAAAAGGTTCCCCCTCCCCCTAAGACAGAATCTCACTGTGTTGCCCTGGGTAGTGTGCCATGGTGTCATGGTAGCTCACAGCAACCTCAAACTCTTGGGTTCAAGTGATCCTCCTGCCTCAGCCTCCTGAGTAGCTGGGATTACAGGCATACAACACTATGTTCAGCTAGTTTTTCTATTTTCAGTAAACACAGAGTCTCACTCTTGCTCAGGCTGGACTTGAACTCCTAAGGTCAAGCAATGCACCAGCTTTGGCCTCCCAGAGTGCTAGGATTACAGTTGCAAGCCACCTCGCCCAGCCAAAAGGTATTTTTTTTAAAGTAGTCTTCCCTATTTAACTTCTGATAAAGTGATTCTGAACTTTTTTTTGCAATTACATTTCAAAGACATCAGATCTAAACACATCAGCTATAAAATCTTACTTAATTCGATCAAATATTTAATATAATCTTAATACTTACCTCTCTTTCTATGAGATGATGCCAAATCCAAATCAGCATTTCGTCTGCCACTCTATTAAAAGTAAAAATAAATAAATTTTTAAAAATTAGTTGTGAAAAATATTTTAAGATTAAGATTTAATAGATTATCAGAATAAAAAATAATCTAAACAGTTAATAGTAATGTTATACTTATTCACCAGTCAAGTCAGATTAATAACAAAATGTCTCTTAATAAAAAAAAAAAAAAGTCCCTTAAAAAAAAACCACTGATAACAGATAAAAGAAAGCTCAAGCATAAAACTCTCAAATAACTGGCTCGGTGCCTATGGCTCAAGTGGCTAAGGCGCCAGCCACATACACCTAAGGTGTTGAGTTCAAATCCAACCCAGGCCCACCAAACAACAATGACAGCTGCAACCAAAAAACAGCCGGGCATTGTGGTGGGCACCTGTGGTCCCAGCTACTTGGGAGGCTAGGGCGAGAGACCGCTTGATCCCAGGAGTTGGAGGTTGCTGTGAGCTGCGATGCCACAGCACTCTACCCAGGAGGATAGCTTGAAGCTCTGTCTCAAAAAACAAAACAAAACAAAACAAAACTCTCAAATACTAATTCAAAAAAGTTAAGGCACACATTAGTTAATATTATAAATTAGCAGTAATTTTTCTTGGTTGTTATCTTTTTTCCTTGGGTATCTTTGTCTTTTATTTTCCAAACACTGTGTGATCTTAATAATCCTCTAGATGCCTAAAGCTCTTGCATCAGCGTCTCATTTCCCAGAATCACCATTCCTTTCTACACCTTCACTTTCCTTTCTTTTCAAAAAGCCCACTAGTCTTGGCCAAGTGTTTAGAGGAAGAAAATCTGATGAATCCATACTAACAGAAAAATAACATAGTCCTATACCTTCTGGTAGTATTTTTAAAAGATTTCAACATGTTTTTTAAAACCTATTAAAATAGAGACATCACAAATTTGTGAAACTACAAATAAAACCATGAAAGCTTTCAGGAAGTACATTTCTGTGTATCTGGTAGGGAGAGATGTCGACAACTTTCCATTCTACTCATATGTACAGCATGAATACTTAAGTTTATGCACAGTCTTCACATTATGGTCTTATTAATTTCAACTGTATTACACAATCAAAACAGTTGGTATATGACTCAGCACCTGTAACTTAGCGGCTAGGGCACCAGCCACATACACCAGGGCTGGTGGGTTCAAACCCAGCCTGGGTCTGCTAAACAACGATGACAACTACAGTGAAAAATAGCTGGGCTGGGCAGTGCCTGTGGCTCAAGGAGTTGGGTGCCGGCCCCATATACCGTGGGTGGCTGGTTCAAACCTGGCCCCGGCCAAAAAAAAAAAAAAAAATAGCTGGGCATTGTGGCAGGCACCTATAGTTCCAGCCATTTGGGAGGCTGGGGCAAGAGAATCACTTAAGCCCAAGAGTTTGAGGTTGCTATGAGCTGTGACTCCACTGCACTCTACCAAGGGCAACAAACTAAGACTCTGTCTCAAAAAAAAAAAAAAAACAGTTGGTGTCAAAGAAGTGACAAAACAGATCCATTTGAGAAATGTTATTGTAGAAAATCTTTACCTGGTCACATATAATAGACATGTACCTAGATTATAGGCAAACATATTTTGTCTTATACCCACCCGCACACACAAATATATATCAACAGAAATAAATATTCTTTGGCCATGTGGTTCTGGATAAAACACCAAATGGTCATCATAACAGTACTTAAAGCATCATTGTGTCACTCAACAGAACATTTTTATCACATAGCACCTTTGCCATGAGAGTTCACGGAAGAATTAAGTTCAGGCCTCAAGCAAAAATATCTGTATCTCTCTTGAATGACTCGTTTGTTTTTATCATTTAGATACCGTGAGTCATTCAATGCATTATGCTTTCCTGATATTGTGGTCACCTGTAGCAGAACACCATGGGATATGTGCCAAAAATAAGCATATCTTACCCATAGTTTTAGTTTCCTCTCTCAGATTTTTTCAATCCTAATTTATTCACCTAATTTTTCCTTTTATAAAGTAAATCAAGGATTGGCACCTGTAGCATAGTGGTTAAGGCGCCAGCCACATACACTGAGGGTGGCAGGTTTGAACCCATCCCAAGCCAGCTAAACAACAGTGACAACTGCAGCAAAAAATAGCCAGGTATTGGGGTGGGCACCTACAGTCCCAGCAACTTTGGAGGCTGAGGCAAAAGAACCGCTTAAGCCCAAGAGTTTGAGGTCGCTGCGAGCTGTGAGGCCATGGCACTCTACCAAAGGCAACACAGTGAGACTCTGTCACCAAAAAAAAAAAAAAAGAAAGAAACCTAAATAAATAGATTAAGTAAATCAAGTCCTTTGTGAAATAAGAGAGCTTGGAAACAGACTCAAGAATATAGTAAGAAATGTTGATAAGAATGACAGCTGGCAAACAGTTAAGCTTAAGTTTGGTATTCTGTTTACTAAAATTAAGTACATAATACATTACATAATACACTTGATGAAAGCAGGTTAAAACAAGATTTGCCATTAAAGTGGTAATTTTAGTCATTTTATAAAGCATTTCATTCACTGACAACTCTGAGTAAATAAGGCACTACTAGCTATCAAAGCTATCAATGGTAATCTTAACCTCATACAGTACAGAAAGATAACACATTTTGGCTGGGATAACCTCATCTGCCCCCAGTGCTTGGCTCCTCTTCATCTACCCCTGGCTCTCTGAAGGTGAAGGCTCAACCTAGCTTTCCTTGACCTGAAATGGAATTTCCTCTTCCTCCAGTTCTTGTCTTTTCCAGCTTTTATGACATTATCTTTTTAAATATGCCACAAGGAAAGATGACCAAAGTCAATCTTTTTAAAACTTGCGCTTATTACCTTTTAAACATTTTTATAAACTTAATAAACCACAATAAAAACCTAAATGAACCATTTTGGCGATGATGTTTAGGCTTAACCCTCCTCCACTGATCTGTCTTCACCATTTCTAATTTTCAAAATGTTTTAAACTTTATTACAAAATTTGTTCTTCAGAACACATTTGAGGCAGGTTAATAGGTGGTAATAATTATTATTTCAAAGACAAAGAAACTAGGACTCCTAAAGCTTAAACGTCTTGCCCAGGTCAAAGTCCATAGTCAATCTTAAGTCCATACTAAGTCAGATTTCATTGTTTGTTTCCCCCGTATGACACTTTATACCTAACTTCATTTTTTACCTTTTAATTTCAGTTGAAATGAATTATCAGCCATTTACAATATGTAAAGCACTGTGTAGGAGGTATCAGTGGCATTAAAAAAAAAACTCTAGGCTTGTGGTAAATTTATTGGGAAGACATACTAATAATACACAGATAAGTCCCACATACGAGAAACCGTTAGTGATTTATTACAAGACCTAACTGTCATAGGCCAGTAAGGAGAGCCACTGTGGAAAAACTGTGAAGGAGAGGTGACATTTTAGCCAGTCCTTAAGGGAAGGACAGGACTTTAACAAGGAACCCTAGGAGAAGAACTTTTAAGGCAAACAACCTTTGAGCAAAGGCGCAAGAGGTATGTTTGGACTCTGGCAGATGACCTACTATAGCAAAAATACAGATTATTGCAAGAGAATGCTGGTTCTAGAAGCAAGCAGGTGACACTTTCCAGAATTTTTGATTTCTTGATAGGTAGTAAAGTCACTATGCGTTTTCTGAGTAGGAAGGTAGCATGACCAGCAGGTGTTTTATTGTTGTGGTGGTTGGTGTGTGTATTTTTAAGAGCTCGAACTTTAGGAGAAGTATCCAAGGAGTAAGACTTTAAAAAGTAGGGAGACTCTTTTGAAAAAATACTGTCTAGGACCAGAAATAAGAAATAGGAAGAAATGAATGGACAGAAAAATTCTGTCAAAATATATTAGACATTCATTCATAAATCCAAAAAATATTTCCTTACAGCCTACCATGTGCCAGGCACTACAATAGGTGCTTGGGATACAGCAGTAAATAAAACAGCAAAAAAATGTCTGTCCTCAAAAACCTTATATTTTAGGGTAAGCTGACAAACTGATAAATGAATATAATAAATAAGTAAATTATATGTTAAGTGATAGGTTCTGAAGGAAAATCACAGCAAGATGAGGGGGACAGAAGTTAATAAGTGGAAGGGAAGGAAAACTGCCGTTTTAAGTAGAGGGGTCATGGTAGGCTTCACTGAAAAAGTTAAAAAAGAAAAAAAAAAGGTCTTCAGAATGAAGACATGAAGAAAGTGAGGGAATTAGCCATGTAGACAACAGTATTCCAGTAAGAAGAAACAGCCACGTTAAAGTCCTAATGGGAACTTGTATATTATGTTCATGAAACAGCCAAGAGTCTAGTGTGGCAGGAGAGTCATCAGGAGAAAAGCAGAAGAGATCAGACAGATCGCAGGGCCAATCACAGATAGAGCCGTGGAGGTCGCAATAAGGACTTAGGCATCTATTCTGAGAAAAAGTGAAGTCATGGAAGGATTCTGAGCAGAGAAGAGATATAATCTATGTTTTAAAATTACAAAAGGATTGAGAAACTAGATAATGAGATCAATCATACTGGAAAAATAAATGGACAGAAAAGAATCTCACTGGGCTGTAAGACTGGGAGCATGAAGTGGTCTAGAGATATTAATAGAGATGAAGGATAACCTTCTTTTTACATAGTACTTTATACCTTTCCAAAATATTTTTATATCTTATTTCAGTTTATACAATAGACAGCTTTCAGAACTAAAAATGAAGCTTATAGATCAGTCAGTCCCCCAAACCAGCCACATGATCTATCATGCAATATTACCAAGGTCTCACAGCTTGTTAGCAGTAGAACTGGGGCCAGAAGCCAAGTCTGATACATTGCCATAATTACAATAGGTACTACCATATCATATCTTACAATGAGACACTAAAGCCCAGAGAGGGGCTGATACATTGCCATAATGACAACAGGTACTACCATATCATATCTTACAATGGGACACTAAAGCCCAGAGAGGGACTGATACATTGCCATAATTACAATAGGTACTACCATATCATATCTTACAATGGGACACTAAAGCCCAGAGACATTATATCACCTATAGAATCACACCCAAGGTAGAGAAACAGCTAAAATGAAAATCCAGTTGTCAACTTCAAGTTCAAACTTCCTTAAATAGAAACAATCTTTTAAATAACTGTCACTCTCTTATTTTATCAGTCACAGTATAATATACTTTTACCTTACTTTCTACTTTTTATATAAATAAAAACCTTACTTATTTTTACCATAAATGCCTATAATCCAAGTTCTGAGGCTTTTTGATGTTTAACTGACAGCTACTACAAAATCTTAAATAGAGGAGATAGAAACAGATTTGTATTTTAGACTATTAATCTAGGGAAATGTGAAAGATGAGCACTGGTGGAGCAACCAGTCTGGAGGCTTCTGCACATGTTCAGACATAAAAGTTTGAAATGGAGCAGTAGGGGGAGGGAGTAGAGAAGAGAGGGCATATTGAAAACATATTAAAGACAAAATTTCCAAAACTTAACTAATTGGATTGGAAATAGGGTGGAAGATGAAGGGACTGGGAAATAAAAGAAAGAAAAGTCCATTCTTCATAGTAAAGTATCACAAAAGTAGAAGAGCAAGTATACAATGTACTCAATACTATTATGAGACCAATAGATAAACAAATGCACACCCACACAGAGAAAACACAATTAAACTCAGGTGGAGTGGAGAGAAGGAAGGGGGATTGGTGTGCTCTCACCTAGTGGGCACAATATAAGGGTATATGTCACGCCTTCAGGGTCAGGGGCACAACTACAAGTTGGACTTTACCTAACAAATGCAAACAATGTAACCTAATCATCTGTACCCTCATATTAATCTGAAATTTTAAAAAAAAAGACAAGAAGTCAAGGATGATCTCAAGTTAACAGCACCAACTACTAAAATAGGGAATATAAGACAAACAGGTTTGGAAAAAAGATGAGTTCAGTTTGGGATAGGTTAAAATTGGGGTAAGCAGACACATCCAGGTGGAATGTCCACAAGGAGCTAGGTTATGAATACAGAGTTTAGAGAGAAGTCAGAGCTAAAGACAGAAATCAGTATCATATATGTGGTAAATATTTGTTCAACATAGTTATCTCATTTCTCTGAAAGTTATATTTTTAAAAGATTTTTATATGTTTAAAACAAACATATCGGTTACTCTAATTAAAGCCTTAAGTATTAATATCTATACATTGAAAACAAAAATCCTTCTTTATTGAACCTAGTTATACCTACCAGTGCATAACTTTCTTCATCTGATTCAGGCTGGGACAAATCAGATTCACTCCTCGATTTGATCAGTCTATAATTTGGACTTGCGTGGACTAGCCGGTTTTCTGCTGTAAGACTTTCACTCCTGTCTCGCATGCACAAAAAAAGGTTTTTTGATTTGGGACTGTTAGTGAACATAAAATTGAATGGAACTGTAGTATAGAGATAATACACACACATAGCAAGGAGAAATTTTATCTATTGATGTGAAATCTTGATTCTTGGCTAAGCACAAAGCCCTTCTCAATTATATCAAAATAATTTCTATGCCACTAAATAAAGAGAGATGATAGTAATGTCATATATTTTTCTAAAGCTGCTGTTTATGTATATGAAAAAGTATGCCTCCTCATTTAACAGAAATTTATATTTCATGCTGAATCAGTATCATTGTTTACATTACTTTAAATTCATCCTAGTCAATTTGCATTTCTTCCCTCATGTCTGTGTTACTATCATAAGAACACTGTAACTTTGAGAATAAACCATGTCAATGCATAAGTAACAACCAGAGAAGGGTACTGTTTTAAGTTTCTAGTCAGTCCCACCTGGTCATAAGGCCACACCCTTCAGAGGCACTTGTGGAAGGCTGTTGCAAGTGTCCTTCTTCCCTTCTTTTCTGAAGCTCATCGATCACAGGACTTACTCCTAATATTAACAGGGCACACCGATGGATCACAGAGTTGCAGGCAGCAGTGTACACATCCTGACCCTCAGGAAGGTCTGTGCTGACCCTTCGCTCTTGTTGGGACTGAGGAGGTGGATCATCAGCTCGAGTCCCAGACCCTGCCCCACTGTTCATTCTATCTCGATCTCGGCTACGAGCTACTTCACGGGCTGAGAGGAAACACTGAAAGATTTCTGTAACATGCAACACAAAAACAAGGTCTTAACACATGGGGAGAGAAGAGCAAAGAAAATAACAATAAAAATAGTCAAAAAGTTTGGATCAAAAACATACTGAAAGAGGGAAAAATTATTTTTTAGACATTAAATACAGTATAGTCTATTTAGTTAAAATTGTAACAAAAGTATTAAAACATTGCACCTTTCATAAAAATTACAGTAGGAAATACTCATATGTCTTCATAGAATTTAGATTTGGCTGATTCTATTTCAAATTTTGTTAATGAGTTAAATCAGTAGTTTTCAAATTGTGGTCTCACACCAGCAGCATCCACATCATCTGAGCACTTGTAAGAAATCTAAATTATGGGCCCAATCCAGATCTTCTGTAACAGAATCTCTAGGAGCAGGGCCTAGGAACTGTGTTTTAACAAGCCCTCCAGCTGATTTTGAAGCCCACAAAGTCTGTGAGGCACTACATTGGATAAAAAATAACTGCTTATTTCTGAAAAATTCCTGACCTTGGTATGAAAAATGTCAGGTTATAAAGGAAACCCAGAAAATACAAGTTACATGAGTTATGAGGAGAAGGCTCCCTTTTGTCTTCCTAACTTCATATAATTGCTACACTTAACACTTCGCTGTATTTAAAACCCATTAGATATGTGCAACCACCAGAGGTCTTTACTGAGACAGAATCTAGCTACGATATATGGACAAGATTGCCTCCAGGGTGAGACAGCATCATCAGGGATATCCATCTGATGTCAGTCCAATTACATGTGTTAGTAAAGTTAACAAGGTTCTGATGTAATAGTAGATATTTTATAATAGAAAAGGAATTTTTTTCTTAAATCTGGAGTGAGTACGGTATTCTTAATGGGAAAGTTGGGCAGAAAAGTTGGTAAAATACTAGATTCAACCGTTAATACGAAAGTACAAACTTATAAAAATGGATCTGTGTATTTTATAGGATTATGACAATATTTTCATTATGCTGTAAAAGTCCCTTGCTTCTATAAAAATCAAAGCAACAAACCCTCCTGGAGTCCAGAGCTAAAAATCAGTTTAAAAGTTAAGAAAACAATCACTAGAGTTCTGGGCAAACCTGAATCTAATTCCAGCTGCTACTAACCATAGCCTAGGCACATAATTTTGCCTCCTTAAATGTCAGTTCACCCACTTTTAGAATGATGTAATATTAGAATTTGTAAACTTTTGTGAGAATGAATTTGTCTATGGATACACTTGACCCAGCACATAATAGGTGATCAAAAAATCACAGCTAGTTTAAAAATCATTACTCCCCAGAAGACTATTGAGGGTAAATGAGGGTTATGCTTTGTCACCATGTTTTGCCCATTAGTCTTTGCTTCCAGGAATCTCTAACCTAAGTTTTAAATTTAAATGGAAAATCCCTCAGCCTAAATTTTTAAAATATGACCACCTTCCCTCCCAATCTCTAATCCCCTTTTCTCCATTGGGACCTTATCTTTTTCTTCTTATTGAAATGGTTTTGGTCTTGTTTTGAGCCACCTCAGAATCATTTTTAGAATATGCAGAACACAAATAAATTGTTAATAAAATAAATGCCAACTTCATTGATTGATACACTCTCAACACCAAATGCACAGCTGGCCTCAATGTTTTAGGCTACAAATTAAATATATGCTTTAAATTGAAATACCAAATCATTCAAAAGATACTTAAACATATTTTTAAAACTTTGATACTGCTCTTTAAACTATAAGTATCTACATTTAAAAACTATCACCATGGAATATAAAAAAATGAAAATTTTTATTCATTCAGCCAATATCATTTTTATGCATATTCTTTTTTTTTTTTTTTTGAGACAGAGTCTCAAGCTGTTATCCCGGGTAGAGTGCCATGGCATCATTATAGCTCATAGCAACCTCCAACTCTTGGGCTCAAGCAATACTCTTGCCTCAGTTTTTTCTATTTTCAGTAGAGAGGGGGTTCTTGCTCTTGTTCAGGCTGGTCTCGAACCCATAAGCTCAAGCATCATGCATAGTCTCATTCCCAATTGAAACATGTAGTAAATGGGTGAAATTTGTAAGTTTAAAAGTTCTACACATGCAAAACAGTATGGCTCTCTTACGATGCATAGAAAAGGGCTCTCTTCCTCACCACACAAAAGTTGTACAACTTGGTACCCTCAGAGGATATATTTTGAATGAACTTATGCAATGACTCATGGGTATCATTTTGTGGTTGAGGCTCAGTGGAGCAGGTACTGACACACCTGCTTACAGACCTTTTCAACCCTGAACATGTAATCCAAAAGCATTAGAATGGCACTAGGTGGCTCGGCGCCTATAGCTCAACCGGCTAAGGTGCCAGCCACGTACACCTAAGGTGGCGGGTTCGAATCCCCAGCCCGGACCCGCCAAACAACAA